GAGGATGGAATTAAGCTGCTTGTATATGCTGGAGAATATGATCTCATCTGCAACTGGCTTGGTAAAGTTTTTTAACATACATAATCTGAGAAGTACATGTTCCTTGAGTTAGGGGATACATCATTTTACACCAAATTAAACAGCATCAACAAAACCTACCGTATCTGAATGGTTTTTTTTCTGCTTGAGCAGGTAATTCAAGATGGGTCCATGCTATGGAGTGGTCTGGTCAGAAAGACTTTGTAGCATCTCCTGAGGTTCCGTTTGTAGTTGATGGCTCTGAAGCTGGAATCTTCAAAACTCATGGACCTCTCGGTTTCCTTAAGGTCATCTCCCTCTATTTTTCTCAATCTTTCTTCTTTCATCCATCATCTGGTGACTGTTTGTCAATGGTGCTGATATATTTGTGACAAAATAACAGGTGCACAATGCCGGACACATGGTTCCCATGGACCAGCCCAAGGCTTCATTGGAGATGTTGAAGAGGTGGACTCAGGGCACACTCTCTGAAGCTGCAAAAGAAGCTGAAAAATTGGTTGCTGACATGTAATTGCCATTTGACCCCATTCCACTTGTCACTCCCCATATCTCTATCTTTTATGTTAGTGGGAATATTTTTAGTTTCCTGGTTTTCTAGATGCAGTAAATAGTGTTGGCTGAAATTTTAAAAATTTAGGGATTGAGGAAAATCAAAACCATATAAGAATTAAAATGTCATAAATGATAATGAAAAATACTAAAAAATCTTCAATTAATCAATAGACAAGGATTTATTAAAAATATTTAAATTAATTTCATAGGAAATACAATTCTAATTTTTCTTTTGAATTTATACATATTATTATTATTATTTTCAGTCCCAAAAAATCAATCAAAATAGAAAATCATTCCTAAAAAAATTGACAGAAGAATTTAATCAACACTTTGCTGATCTGATAATGTAGATAGATTATTGAAAAATGGTAATATAGAGGCTAAAGAAAATGCAGCTGCTGCCGGGGAAAAATAGATTGGGCTTAAGTAGATGGGTCGGGCTATAATTGAGAGTTGATAGCGGAGTGAAAGGGATGGGCTTTGGGCTTGATATTGTTAACAGGCCTAGCGAAAGTTCATATCTGTTGGGCAACCCTCATTTCTGTTGGGTGGATTATAGCTTTGTAAACTTTGTATTGGGTCAGAGTAAAGAGTGAAAAGGAGAGGGCCTATTGGGCTACCAACAAAGTTTTGGATTGGTATGGAAATGAGGCGTGGTTATCGTCACGTTCAAAATTATTAATAATATATTATTAAAAATTTTGTTATTTTAAAATAGTATTTAAAGATATTAAAATTTTAATTAATTTTAATTTATTAAATAATAAATATTAATTATTTTATAAGTTATTAGTTAATATTTATAGTTATTAATTATTTTTATTAGTTAAATTAAACAAAAGTAATATTTTTAATGATAATATTTTATAATTTTAGTCACTCTAACATTATTTTTGATATTTATTACTGTGCCCATAAAATTAGGGACAGTTTAGTGGTTTTTATTTTAGTATTTTCCTTTCAATTGAGTTTATGTAGCTAAATTTATGTATCAAGAAAGTAATCCGAAAAAAAAAAAGGAAAATAAGGAAATTTTTTTTTAAAAAAAAAGAGTAAGAAAGGGCTGGAAATGCCTCTGTAGTTTAATTTGGATATCAAATTTCCAGTTAGCCGTGAGCTATGATACAACATGAGTTAGAGTTAAATTAGACACAATTTTTATGCACAACACTATAAAATTGTAATTATTTATCTCTCTATAATAAAAACTTGAGATATATTTAATTTTTATTTATAAAGATAATTATCTTTTTTTTGAAAAATTCATAAAAAATTTGAGTTATTTATAGTGAAAAATAATTACATAATTAATTGTAATTAATAAGAGGTTCAATCAAGTTAATACTCACTAATTTAAAACTTTATTTTGAGGTCAAACTCAGAATTTCAAACGTTGGAATTGTTAAGTAATTAAGCTTCTCATATTCTAAAAAAATAATCAATTAATTTTATGTAAGAGTTGTGTAATAGATCCAATCCTATCTCATTATATATGGGGTTATAAATTAACACTATTGATATATATAAATGATAGAATTTGAAATCGTATTTACTCTGAATAAATGAACTTTAATGTAAAATCATTTTTATTAATTTACAACTTATGAATCAATGAACTTATGAATAATGTAAAATTATTTTTCATTAATTTATAACTTAGTCTTATTTCTTTTTTCCCCTTTCAATTTCGTCTACGTAAATCAAGATTTGATCAAAGATTTTAAGAAAAGAGCGGTTTAAGAATATATTTCTAAAATTAGGTGCGTTAGAAACTTATTTTCAACAAATTGTTAATTTTTATTGTTTTAAAATTATATTGTATTTTAGTACTAAACCCTCAATATTTAAAAGTTATTGGCCTTAACTAATGACTTTAACTAATGTAGAATCAAGTTATGTCAGACCCATAAAAGAAAAAATTATTTTAAAACTTATTTTATTATTGTAAGAAAAATTGAATTATTTTTACTCAAATTAATAAGCTATTGATTTAAAATAATATGTTTACCCTATGATAGGAGGGATAAGATCCTTTGCACATAAATCCTTACACCAAATCATAACTATTGATTTCTATTATAAATTATTATAATTTTTAAATAAAAAAGTTAATTGACTTAAAAAAAGATAAAAAAAGATAAAATAATCTCAATAATTTATAATAAAAAATAAAAAATTAAAATTTTATATAAAATTTATGTCTATATTGATCCCTATCATTGTATAGTATAGTCTATCAAAATGATTAGATTAAAAATAAAATAAAATGTAAGGATCTTTAGTGGCAAATGCAAAGAATAAAGGGACCTCAGTGTCAACTTCTTCCCAACACAGTGGCGTTCCAGTAAATCCACAAAGCGGACTCACGACGCCACCTGCCATAACCGAAAAGGCCCGCCCTTTCTCAATATCCCAAGTCACCGCGATGTCCGCTACCGCGACACGACTCCGCCGTCTCGCTGCCTCCACCGCCGCAATCGCTGCCGTAGCTGGAGGCGGTGTAATACTCTTCTCCTCTGTATCGGCTAATGAACGCGGCGGTGGGCCAGCTTTGGAGGCTATGAGGCGGAGGATAAACGATCCGACCATCCTCGTCCCGTCGCGCGCGGTACAGGAGTCCGCTCTCATCGGTTCCAGCTCAGCCAACCCTCTCGACATCCTCGTTATTGGGGGCGGCGCCACCGGCTCTGGCGTTGCTCTCGACGCTGCCACTAGAGGCCTCCGCGTCGGCCTCGTTGAGCGAGAGGATTTTTCATCGGGCACATCTTCGCGGTCCACTAAGCTAATCCACGGAGGTACTTAAACATATCTGTTTATTCAAACACATATTGCTGAATTATTGTTATGGCTGTATTTAGTAATGTCTCTTTTCTTTTTTTCTTTTTTATTTAATCTATTTAAATTGGTATGTCTTTGAAAAAAGAATGGAGAACAATTGAGATTTTTTGTTGCTTTCATATGCATTGGAAGTTTTATTTGAAGAGATTCTAGAATTTAAACTTCAGAAGGCTGGTGAATTTCCTATGATTGACTCATTCAGTTATTTGTATAGAGGCATCTATCTTTAAATTGCTGGATAAGTAAGGAGAGTAGAACAGAATCTGAATGAATGTAGACTGCTGTCAACAGTGAATAACCTCAAATGTTTATCACTAGTATCCGAATGTTGTTGTTGTTGTTGTTGTTTGTGCTTCCTTTGGTAATCCTTTAAGTTAATTTTGTTAGGGGTCCGGTACTTAGAGAAAGCAGTCTTTAACCTTGACTATGGTCAACTGAAGCTTGTGTTCCATGCACTTGAGGAGCGCAAACAGGTTATTGATAATGCACCACACCTATGCCATGCTTTGCCATGTATGACACCCTGTTTTGAGTGGTTTGAAGTATTATACTACTGGGTGGGCTTGAAAATGTACGATTTGGTAGCAGGACCACGCCTGTTACATTTGTCTAGATATTATTCTGAGAAAGAGTCTATTGAGCTTTTTCCCACTCTTGCAAGAAAGGGTAAAGATAGAAGGTTAAGGGGCACAGTCGTTTACTATGATGGGCAGATGAATGATTCACGCCTTAATGTTGGACTAGCTTGCACTGCTGCATTAGCTGGTGCAGCAACACTTAATCATGCAGAAGTTGTATCTTTTCTTAAAGATGAGGCTTCCGAGCGGATAATTGGTGCAAGGATTCGAAACAATTTATCAGGTACACAAGCATGTCCTCTCTCCATAATCATGCTAGTTGAATATTTTCATTTGTCATTACTTCCATGTTAGGAGTGGCTTTTCTCAATTCCTCACCCCCTTCTCAATTCTCTAGTCTTTGATTTGTCTTCTTTCTTGTTGTTTTGCCAAATGCAATAAGTTTGTCTAGAAACAATGGAAGAACTATGAGAGTGAAAAATGCATTTAATGGCTTTAGCTAATGAATTTTTGATTATCTGCTAATCATAACCTCTGAAGCATGTGATTTGCCAGAGCATCACCATTATATTTATTTGCAGATACCATTGGAAGAGGCTCACCAGGGACCATATTTGCATTGAAATTCATGCTTTCAAAATTCTTACTTGTACAAAAAATATTGTGGTTAGCTCAATTAATTAGTTTTTTTGATATTTTCTGTTCATTGT